TGTCTTAGTTCAGTCTCCCATATAAACTCTGTGCAGTTCCTCAGTGCTGGTTCCTCGTCTTTTCCTCGCTCCTCAGGCTTGTTGTCCCTGATGTCTTCATGGTTATTGTTTGTTTTGCATTTTTATGTTGTTGTTATTTTTGGATTCAAGCTTCTGTTACCTTCATCAAAGCTAGAAGAGCTCGGCTCTGCTTCCTCGCCTCTGCATTTGGGTCCTCAAAACCAGTTGTTTTATTTGCATGCCTGGATTGCCATTTTCTTTTATTTACAAAATATGCTAATTGCTTGTGACAGTAATGGAAAAACATTCAGTCTTTAAATTGATATTTTTGGAACAACAATCAGGAGTATTCTAAGGTTCTTTGTCCCCAGTACCAGAATAACTTTCTAAGCAGAGTAGTGCTTTATCACCACTCAACTTTTCTTCCATTAACATCAAACTTTCTTGCAGACCTGAAATGAGCAAAATTTGTAGAAGACACTTTATATTTACAAAAATATATTTTTTTTGTATTTTATTTTAATTTGAGCAAAATAAATAAAAACAAAATCCTCTGAAAATGGGTTTTACTAAAATTATATTCCTGTCTTTCAAATCATTACCTTTGGAAAATTATTAGACTAAACAAAATAAATGGGAACACATTGTGCCATTGACAAACAAATGGAAACAGCCAAAAGAAAAAATTGAATTGTGACAGTCATTCACCCCCTAAGAAGGGTGGGAACAAAATGGTTTTAAACAACAGTCCTGTTTGAGATGAATCAAAACAAATGAGAAAGATAAAAGAGCTATAGCCTGAATGTATTATTGTATAGTAAGGGGAGTGGCGGCCTGGTGGTTAGGGCATAGAGCTTTGAATCCTGAGGTTCAGAGTTCGAGCCCCACTCCCACAGCCTGCCACTCTGGGTCCCTGAGCAAAGACCCGTAACCCCACAGTCAACAGGGTTAAATGCAGAGAGTTATGGGGAGTGGCGGCCTACTGGTTAGAGCATAGAATCCTGAGGTTCCAATTCGTCGCCATGCTAGAATCACATCGTTCGATTCACTTCGCCTTGCAGTCATCCTCTAAATATGGATAAAATGTCTATTTTTAGCTCTGGGTGTAACAAATCTTTTTCGGTGTGAATGCACCATAAGAAAAGGTCATATCAGCCTCTTGTATATTTTCGCCCCTTCCCAAAATTACTTCAACGAAAGGTTTCCAAATGGATATGGGGAGCAAATCCATCTGGCGGAGTCAGGTTACAAAAACTGTCCTACTCAAGGCATTTCAGCCAAAGGGCAACAGTAGCTATTAGAAGGATCCTCTGACTAACTATTTTGTTGTTGAAGCAAAATCTAGTTGATTATGTCCTTTATTGAAGACAAAAAAAACAAAAACACATTTAGATACCAGTAGGTGAACATCAGTTTTAAAATAACTCAATATCTAATCTGGTGTCCTAGTTTTTCCACAGCTGTATGTGACTGTTTTCATAACACCCATGTACATGGGTAATCTAAACTGGCATTGCTATGTCAGCATGTGTCAGAATGCAGAGGGACCGTGTCAACAAATGTGTCACCGTGTGGCTTCTCTGAGGCCAGACAGCCACTCATACATCTACTAAGGGGAATATTTATCCTGTTGAATCAGCACTCTACAAAGAGTCAGCAGTGCCGGTTCAGTCACAGAAAGAGGATGACGCGGGGGAGAGCCCAAAAATAGCTGAAAGAGACAAAGAGGTGTCTGGTGAAAGACATTTGTAGACGGGCCGGAGAGACGGAGTAAGGCACAACAAACAGAGGGTCCATTTTTAAAAGATTCAAAAGGTGAAAAAACATGAAGGGGTGGAGAGAATGAAAGAAGAACTGACCTAAAAGAACTCTAAAAAACCTCACCATGTATATCCATTGATAAAAGGTATGAAAAACAGGAACACAAATGCTTTGAGCTCAAAGATAAAAATATCTTTTCTCTTTGTTTGGTTGTGAATAACTGCTGGGAGCTTTTCTAAATACAGAAAGAGAAAAGGTTCAAAATACACAAAAAGCACTTTTTAAAGCCAGGGAACTGACCTATTACAAGCAACCAAACCTACCAGAACAGAAGTGATATTGAACAAAAAGAACTGCCGTAAATTAAATATTGCAATAACATAGCAAGAACCAGCTTTAAATTGAAAAAGTTTGTTTGTTTTTTCTTTTTTTAGAATTTATTTTACCGTGTAACAGAATTCTTCAATGTAATGAATGTATAATAACTGTAAATGGATCATTCATTCAAATCATTTCTACCAAGGCTCCTCTGCAATAACACTGTCCCTAACTCGCAGTTTGTGAACAACTGCTATAAAAATATGAAGAAAAAAATATATACATATATTTGTCTTTATATATCACTCTAGCTTTTCATTACCAAGTTAAAAAGCAGGAAATTAAAAAATGAAACAAACCTGAAGCAACTTCTGAGGAAATTCAGATAAATGTCAGAAAGGCAGCAGCTGGGAAAACTAACAAACCGGCATCCTAGCAAGACATTGTCTTTGTGGTGTCCTCAGTGGCCAACGACAGCCTGGATTTAAGTGTATACAATAAAAAGAAAAAAAGAAAAAGCACACTAAACTTCTGCCAGAGATCTGCTCGGGCCCTCCACATGTCATTTACATTACGCTATATCAGAGGTCACGGATTAGCAGATCGCAGTCCGGATCCACCTGCAGGCTAATCCGCAATTTCTACTTTTCATCAACATCCTTTCTTCAAAAGCAAGATATTTTGGGAAAGTAAGAATGCCGCCAATTTCATTAGTGTTTATAAATGCAGAAACTATTCCATTCAAACTATTCCCATGATTTTGATGTTTCAAGTAGGAAGAAGTTGTGCAGTTTCTGTCCAAATATCACACATCACATCATGTATAAAGGCACAGAGTCCATGTTATCAGGGGAAACCTCTGAGGGTTTTCAGGAGGGAATTTCAAAACTCTAAAAAACTATAAAACATTTTATTTTTAATTGTTTCTCTTTACTGTAAAATACAGGAGTTTTGCTTTTTTTCAAAACAAGAAGTGGACTTTTTAATGACTTGTATTGTAAATTGTATGTTTAAATCATTGTTTACATTTTTTATCTTTTTGTTTTCAAGTTGATTTTCTCCACCTTTAATTTTTTATTTCTTTATTGTATTTAATTCTATATTTTTCCATTTGATATTTTCTACTAATATTTTTTTAATTTTTTCTTTTTCAAATCGAGTGTTATAGATAACATTCTCTTCACTTCTTAGGGCGGGTTTTTCACTCTGGTATGATGAGTGAGCAAAGAGAAATTGTTTTTATTGGGTGAGTGAAGAGAATGTGATCTCCAACACTTAATTTTAAAAAGAACGGAACTCTGAAAAGTGAAATTTGAATAAATTGTTTTCAAATAAAGTTTGAAGAAATAAGGAAAAAACCTGAAAGACTAATTAAGATTTGCGATTGAGCTGAGGTGAATGTATGATTATCCTGTTCTCTTCCCTGCAAAGACCAAATTAAGTGCAGACCAAGGAATTATCACTGATCTACCTTTTTTGACTAAAGTTATATAGTTATTTGAGGGAGTGGCGGCCTAGTGGTTGGGACAGAGAGCTTGAAATCCTGAGTTTGTTATTGTAGTTTGAGTTCCACAGACTGCTACTCTGGGTCACTGAGGAAATACCCCTAAACCCACACTGCTCCCCAGGCGCCCCACAAAGGCAGCCCAATGCTTTTGCAAGGGGATAGGCTAAAGCAGAGGTAAATTCCTCCAATGTCAGATCAAAAAAGTTCAATAAATGACTTTTTTTTTTTTTGTCTGTAAAGGTTAGACATTTACAACAGGGAAAGTAATGGGATATGATACAGTGATGTTGGTGTGTGTTTGTGTTTTTGTCAGAAATAATAAGTTTGTGAAGAAGTGAAGCATCTTTTCCAAATTCAGAACGGTATCCAGCTCTGGCCAGGATCAGGAGTTGATATACCATTACACAAGACTAAGGATTACCCAAGGCCCCAAGTTCCTGGGGGTCCCAATGAACTCCTCATACAAAAACTTGATACAGATTAATTATTTACATACATTAATTGTGTCTTTGATTAAAATCCTTTCGTTAAAACCTGAATGTTTATCCCCTCCCTTCAGTCTTTACTACATTGAATCAGTCCTTCCAACTGTGCATGTGCAGAAACGATCCAGGAAGCCGGCAGCAAAACATATAAAAACAAATCGAATGAAGAAAATAAGATGAAAAGAAATGACCCCAGCAGTGACAAAAAGAAGAGGCTAAAAGGAGAAAATACAAAGACGATCAGTAAAGGGAAGAAGAGAAAATGTGGAGAAGAAGACAACAAAAAGGGACAGAAAAGTTTGTGAAAGGGGCATTGGACGGAGAAAAAAGGGGGAGAAATTCAAAGAGACAAAAGACAAGAGAAAAAAGAGAAACGGGACAGGAAGAGGGGGAAAGAAAGGTAAAAAAAAATAGTTTGTGTAAGATTTTAAAAACTCACTTTGCATCTGTTGCTTTATGCGTTATCTCCTCATTTCAGAGGGGCCTCTGCCTGCATTCACTTTGGGCCCCAAATCTCTTAAGTCCACCAGTGGCCATGAGATCAACCTTAGTGGAATTTTACGCTCTCACTGTATCCCTTTATAGCTCCCTTTACTCAGATTAAACACATCCTGACAAAAAAAGACTTCATAGAAAGTGTAGGGAAGCTAAACCCACAGTCTCCCCTCCATGAAAGAAATGCCATCGGCATTCTGAGTAAGTCAACACAAATGGGTATAATGCAAAGAAAGTGTTTATTCCGACACTCTGTTGCTGTTCCTGCTGAAGATGGGAAAATGTTTTAAAGACATTAAAATTCATTCAAAGGTGCTAAAGCTTCTCCTTGCCCTCAGCCTGAATATGATTTGTTGTTTTTTTTCCTCAAAAAAGAGGTTTTTATTCCACAGGTTCCATCAGGGGCTTCAAATGAGTAAAACATCACTGCTTACCCATCTCGGGGTGATGCCTTCCCTCAACAGGAACGCTGACTGTCCGGCGCAGGAGTTTGTTCCTGTGGGACTCTGAGCGCCTCTCGCGCATCAACAAAGGGTGAACCTGGAAACCCAAAACACAAAATAAATATCAGAAAAGCTCTCTGAAAATGCTGCGTCCTCATTTCTCAACAAATCATAAAGTACAGCTAAAACAGTTTTAAACTTTTGGTTTTTTCAAAACTGCGGTGTTCCTCATTCCTTTACTGACAGAGATTTATGTCAGAATTAAAATAAACTAATCGACGTGTGATGTCACCTATCATAAATGAGACGTTCAGGAAAATGAAAGCAGAAATGTCAAATCCGGAAGAGGAACAGAAACATTGGTAATTTCACTGAGAACAAAGAGTGAAAGAACCATATAATAAAACTAGATCAAATAAATCACAGAGGCTGCCACATTTGGCCCCACAGTCCCTGAATTCATAAAAGTGTGACTAGAGGGAAAACAAATGGAAGAAGGTGAAAGTCTAATCAGAAACTCTGCTCCTTTTAAAACTTTGGAGGGAAATCCAAAAAAAACCCTGAAGAAATATTTAATTATTGTCAATTAATTGTCATATATGTAGATTCATATTCTCAATAAATGTATTAAATCTTCTAGTTCCATTCCAGCTGATTTTTAAGATACATTTTCTTTAAAGCCATAAATAAACAGACTACATCTTATATCTGGGACCTGTGTGTCCCTTATGATCTGAACAAACAGCCAGAGGGGTCGTTTTTCTTTCAAGGGGCAGAGAAAAAAGGAATAAAACAAAATTAATTGGGCAACAAATATATTAAGTGAGCCATAGAGCCAAAGAACTACTTGCAGCTAATGATGTAGCAGATGAAAACGGATCCTATCTAAATATGGCTGAAGCTGAACATACAAAACCTTTAAATCACTGCTTAAGCAAAAGTTAGGGATGCACGATATTGGGATTTTGGCCGATATCCGATATGCTGATATTTTAAAACTCATGTAGCCGATAACCGATATCGATACCGATGTTAAAGCTGGACAAAAATAAGTAGTCATTGAAAATAGCAGTTTTGTTATCCATTTCTGACACTTTGAAAAATAATATACTCAAATGTATTTTCATATGCTGATATCAAATTGATTTTTAAAAACACGGCATCAATATATTTTACTTTCAAAATCTCGTGAAATTTCATCGTTCTGTTACAAACTCTCGTGATATTTTGCAAATTCTTGTGAGATTTTGTTAGTAAAATAGATCGATACCGCGTCAATCTATCAACATATAAAAATATGGCAAAATTTCGTGAATTTTCGGGGGATTTCGTAGCATAACGATGACATATAGCAATATTTCATTAGTAAAAGAGATCGATATGGTGTTTTTAAATGGCAATATATCAGCATATGAAGATATTGTGATATTTTAATGTATCAATATTTTTTCCCTCGTCTTTAGAAGTTTTTAAGTCTGTAAAAAAGAAGTTTTTGAGGAAGAAGTAGTAGTATTTTTTTTATCTTTTTTTTACTTTAGAAACTGAGAAGCTGATCAAATATCGGGTTAAATATCGGCGAGGTGGCCGATGTCCGATATTCAGTTTTAAGGCCGATACAGGCCGATACCGATAGGGGGCCGATTATATCGTGCATCCCTAGCAAAATTGTCAATATAACAAATTCAATTTCTTTAATGGACCAATAAGTTGCAATTTCTATACCAGTGCATATCATCATAAAAAATATATTTAATATTATGTCTTCAGTACAGGGACCATAATAGAAAAGGAATTTAAAAGTGCACAGGCCACTATTGGTCCCTGTAAACAACCACCTGTGCTAACAGAGCACTTCTCTCTCAATCTTACGTTAACACCCACCAGCGGAAACACCCACCTAACCAACTGACAGACGGAATCTCACTATACATCAGCCATTCTCAGCCATGAGTTAGATTACTCGTTACTAAAACAAGATAACGGCGTTAGTATTTTCAAGGCCGTTACTCCCATCATTATGTTGCTATAGACTTAGACTGCTGGAGGACATAGGGAACACTTTTCATCGTTTTTCACTCTATCTCTATCCCCCCATTCTGCAGTATTTGATTATTCAACCCATACCTTTATGTTCTATCTGCTTTCCCTCATCATAATGGTTTCATCTGGTCTGTTCCTGTTTGGCTGTAACGCCATCCTGAGGAGAAATATCAGCTGGGCTGCTGCCATCAGCATCTCTTATGGATGATAACATTTTTTTAGTGTTTATTTCTGTTTTACACCTAGACATAACTATGTGCTCAGCTTTTACTGTGACTAAGTGTATGTACTCTCCTTCGTGCCTTTTGACATAAAACTGGCTCAGAGCTCACCTGCTTAACTGTTTCTTTCCTAGACAAGCCACCTGTGGAGATAGTTTACAGTTATCATGAAAAATGTAACAACATAGAAAGTATTAATCAATCAAAGTGTCTATGTTCCTATTGTGTGTCTGCTTCTGTCTCCTTGAACCCAGTCGGCAATTGGTTGCTCACACTGACTCTGGTTATGCTGGAGTTTTCTACCAGTTTCTTCTACAGTGTTGCTGCATGCATGCTCAGTGTGATGGATTGCTGTAGAGTCAACGATACAATGCAAGTTAATATTTACTTTCTCTACATTATTAATATTACATTATTAATGTTATTGGCAGAAATAAAGTAACCTAACTCCGCCAGATGAATTTGCTCCGCATATCCATCTGGAAACCTTCCGTTGAAGTAATTTTGGGAAGGGGCGAAAATACTGGTTAGCTGATTGGCCTATGTTGGTGATAGACGGGCCAAATAAACCAATCAGATCAACGAACCATATGACGTACTAACAGAGCGACGACGAAAACACAACCACAAGCCAGGCTACTCTTGCCGAAACCAGTCGGGAGAAGAGCAAAAACATCTTTTCCTCTGAGAAAAGCCTCCAGAGCAGTGTTTTGCTCTTCTTTCAGCGAAGAAATACTCTGTAATTCCGATAAACTTGCTCGATAGCCACGCTAACGCTAGTTTCATCGGCTGAAGCCGCCATGTTCTTTAGACTGAACATTCGCGCTTCTTGTAGCGTCACACCTCAATCCGCCTCAAAGCCAACGCTGATTGGACGTTCGTTTGGTGAACGGCTCCAAATTTTCTTTAACGGAGAGTCTCCAGACTGATCTGCGAGTGAAACCTTGAAAGCTCGCGAGATCAGGATGGTCTCACGAGGCTAGAAATAAAGGGCCCAAAAATCAAATTTTGTGGTGGGCCCCACAGAGGCTTTATCTAACTGATTTCATGTCATTCGAGGGGAGGAATTTAGAACAATCTATATTTGGGTTTTAATGTACTTTGTACTTTGAAACTTCCTACTTTTTCTGATACAATATATAAAAATCTGTCTATATTTGATCTGAATGTTTAATCAGGCTTAAATATTCCTGGATTCTAATTTAATTAGGTTTTTCTTTGAGGCTAGACCTCCACACATTTCTCCCATAGATATAGACATACAGGTGCTAGTCATATAATTAGAATATCATGAAAAAAGTTCATTTACTTCAGTAATTCCATTAAAAACATAAAACTTGTACATTGCACTCATTCTTCACTCTGACTGGTATATTTATAATCTTTATTTCACTGGATTAGGCTTTACTCCTAAATTTAGATTCTCAGAAAATCCAAATAATGTGAAAAAGTCCAATATTGAAGACACGTGTCGCACTCCAATCAGCTTGCTAACTCAAAACGAGTGCAACAGCCATTAGAGGGTCTTTCAGTACTCAATCATGGCAAAGACTGCTGACTTGAGGGTTGTCAGGACGACCAGTGACACCTTGCACAAGGAGGGCAAGACATGAAAGGTCAGTGCTACAGCGGCTGGCTCTTCTCAGAGCTATGTGTCCACACATTAGTATAGATTAATAGAGAGGGGAGGGGAAGGAAAAGATGGGGTAGAAAATTCTGCAAGTAGGAGGGATAACTGCACCGCAGAGAGGACTGAGAAACAAGATCATTACAAAATGTAGGGAGGATTCACAAAGAGTAGGCCGCAGCTAGAGTCAGTGCTTCAAGGATTTCCATGCACACCTGTGACACTCCTTGTATCAAGCTGGTCTTAAACAAGAGGGAGCGTTAGAAGGATCTTATAGGCTAAGACAGGCAGACAGGTCTGGACTGCTGTTGCTGAGTGGCAGTGTACTTGTGACTGTTTCGTTTCTCTGTCACAAGTAAGGAGCAACGAAATGAACTCTCATGCATGCATTTAAGCCATCTAATATTTGCTCAAGGACTGGCAGTCTGTGGGAGTGGGAATCGAACCCAGAACCTCAGGATTCTAAGCTCCCTAACCACTAGACCACCCCTCCCCCCAATTCCTTGTTGCAATGCAATCTGCTGGTGTTGGTCCACTGTGCTTTCTGGGGCACAAGGTCAAGGCAGGGTTCATACTGGAATTTTTAGAGCACTAATTCTCACTGCTGCTAACCAACTTTATGGAGATGCAGATATTCCTTTTCCAACAAGAATTGGTGCCTACAATTCCAAAGCTACCAGTACCTGGTTTAAGGACCATGGTTTCCCTGTTATTGTTTGGCCAGCAAACTCCTCTGACCTTATCATACATAGAAAATGCATGGGGAATTATGAAGAGGAAGCTGCAATACGCCAAAACCTAAGCAGAAGAGCTGAAGGCCACAATCAGAGCAACCTGAAGTCTCATAACACCTGAACAGAGCCACAGACGTGACGTTACGCTATATGATTGGCTGAACATTGCCAGATGATATAAAGCATTGTGTTTGCCCAGAAAACCATAGTAACATCACGCAGCGTCAGTATGCTGAGTCGGGAGCATCTGCAGTGTTAACGTGTCTAATGACTAGGGGTGTAAATAATAATCGTTTTGTATCGATGCATCGATCCAACAGCCGACGATCCTTTGCATCGATACGTCCGCAAGATAATCGATTCATGTTTTTTTTTTTCCTCCAGTCTATTTTTATCCATTTTCTCCTGGGCGTAATTCTCCCTCCCGTGCTACGGTGGCGCTAAACCTATGTTGCCCTACTAACTCGCTTCCTGG